TTGTTGTGATTTGGCGCTATATAAATAAAATTGAATTGAATTGAATTGAACAATAGACTATAAAAGATGAATTTTACCACGCCAGTGTCACCTTGGCCACGGTCGACTCGTCTCCTTTATGACGCTAACGAGACCATAACTGAGAAAGTGAACAAAGTGGTGCAATAAATCGGTCTTTAAGATTTAAAAGACCATAAACTCAATCAGAGATTAATGGATCCAGCAGCGCGGCTATTTTCACAGCAACGTGCTGCTGATCCCAGAAACCATCCTGCTGTTACACTGCAGAGTCCAGTTCAGTGCTTACAGGTGTTTGTACATGCTGAGCCCAGAGTGAGCCCAGAGTGGGCCCAGAGTGGGCCCAGAGAGTGAGCCCAGAGTGGGCCCAGAGTGAGCGCTATGTGAAGGAGAAATGTGAAAATGTTCTTTGGTTCACATAAACCTGGAATCACATCTCTGATCATCGGCAGCCTGACAGCAGATTTCTTTGCTCCTTGTTGGGGTCGAGTCTTTTAGTTTTCCTTCTGACACCTTTTGCTCCATTGTAGATCTCTGCTGCGACTAACAAGAAAACACAAGTAGGGTTATAAACATGTCTGATGAATGAAGGATGACATATTTGAATCCCGCTGCTTTGTTTTTATAGTTTCAACGTTTTCTCTCAGTGATATCAGTTGAAGGCCAACATGTGGCACACGAGGCAGCTGTGCCCATGACCACAGACCCACACTGCAGTCGATTATGGAGACGCAGTGATCACAGCTGTGGACACATGTTTAAGGTCATTTACACACATGCATGTACACACACATTAAGTTAAATGTAAAACTGCAAACTCTGGTTTAGCTTCACATCCCAACATCAGACGCTGTTATTGTTCAAGCAGGTAATAAAGAGTAACATGTGATGTGGCAAATGTCTTTTATTGAATCGGTTCCTCTCAAGCATTTTGTGGTTTCTTACATAATTGTTGTTGTAATTGTTTGACGTGAAGCCTCTGTGCACTCCAGTGTTGTCATGAAAAGAAACCAGTTCTCCTGATATTTTTACATGATTAGCTCAACGTTTGGAAAATGTGCTGCTTTGTTTTGTTGTTGTGATCTGATTGATGGCTACTCGTGTTAACCGTTTGCACAGCAGCAGGAGATTTTCTATTTAACGTCTGTTCACCTTTTTACATGAACATGAGCTCGATCTGTCCTCTTAATGTCACACAAGCACATTTTCCAAACGTCTGAGCTGTTCAAAGTGCACGATGCCACTAACACATGAGTCAAAGTTTTGCCTTTTCAAAATAAAGTTCATGACAGATTTGTGCATTTAGCCTTTTAAAGAATCTCAGTTCTTCATTCATAAAATGATCGTACAGTAATTATGCAAAACAAGATGACGTGGATACACAACGTGGGACTGATTCTTTGTCCCTTAAAACACGTTTGAAAAACCAAATACAAAATACATTCATTTCTTTTTTTGTACAAGTTCTCAAAGCATGAGGAGAAATTTGTGCTTCTACAGTAAAAATGTTGCATGCCATAAATGAAATTAAGGCTTAAAAAAATAACTGAAAAGCTCGTTTGTTACACGTTTTTCTTTTACCAAAAATAAACCTGTCACGCTTGCATCAGGTAAAAGTAACTGATGGTCTTCGCAAGTATTAAATATCAATGTAAAGGTTCATGCAGGCTCATGCCTTCATATTTACACTGTGGGTAAACTGGTTTACACTGGTTTCTGTGGATAAGCACAGATGATCTGTGGGCCACCGACTCACATCTGCAATCAAATGTTTGTGTACAGATTTGATGTGAGGCCCACATGGTTACATGTGTGTGCGTTAAAGGAGGAAATGAGCATGGTTACATATAACACGCGTGTGCGGGACTACAGAACTGATGCTTTCAGCCAATCTAAGCTCGAGAAGACCAGACAGGAAGACCTGAGGCTGTCGCTGCTGCCAGAGACGCGTTTACAGAGCGCAGAGTTAAAGATCTGAAGACCTTTAAAGACGAGAATCGAGTTTTTGATTTCCAACAAATCTTAAAAAAAACCTCTTACGTGTTTTTATTTCATCACAACAAGTTCTTAAAAACATTTATTCTTTGAAAAATCTTTATTTACTGTGATGGCTGATGTCACTCAGCGTGACACAGACTGACTTTAAAGTTAATGGGGACAATTTTGGGAATCGCAGGAAGGAAAACATCTTGCATCAATGTGATGAAATAAATTGGTGAATGATGTCTGTGTTGTCTTTGAATTCAGGTGCTACCTCACGTTCACGTTTGAGGATTAGACCACGTTTCGCACGTCCTGCTTTGTTTCACTCTTTTGCTGCAGAGTGAGGGAGTCTGTGTCATGTGACAAACTGTCCACTTGCACAGAACAGATGTGCAATCAGGTCTTCTGAATTTAATGCAGGAGTTCCTGTTTTATTGCTTTGAGGATCAGGGGGCGTCTGCCTTGGATCTCCCTTCGCAGGACGTATTCACTAAACAGGGAGGAGTCCACGCCGCCGCCACACGACCCTGTGATGAAGAAACCTTTCTGCTGCAGCCGCTCCAGCACCTGCAGTCAGACACAAACCAAATAACAGCAACACGAGAATGAGGCATAACGAGAAGATTTAGACGTGATCTCTAATGTTTCGCTGGAGTCAGGAGTGCTGAAGAAAGGTGGGACTTGTTCAGCATTTGACCCGGGTGCTCGCTGCACCTCAAGAGTTGAACCTGTGCATGCATTAAAAACACTAATTTTCACCATCATGCATACCAATAACTTTATCACACCTTTACCAAACACTCCCTGGTATCAAGACTTACGCACTACAGCACATAATAACCAGCCCAATGCATGAAGGCATTTAAACAGTTTAGATTAATTAATTTAATTAAAGCCTCTGCAGTAAAACATGGTTTAGAGGCCGTGTAAGCTGCCTTCAACTCATCTGACCTGACTTTCTTGGGCAGCTCGTTAGATATTGTGCATATAGTCCGTATTTAATCAAAGTATCAAGTCTCTATGTGCAAAAGTGGGTAAAAGGATAAATAGCCCACTGGACTACAGATGCTTGCTGCTGCAGAAAGACAGAAACCTTTCCTGCCGGCTGGGGCGAAGTTCAGCTATTAATTAGTGCTTCAACCCTAATTATGATCATCACAGTAACTTACTGTAGATATCAGAACACACTCGTAGCATTAACATTACAGCTCCACAGAGGTTTGAATAATATCTAATAAACCCAGATTAGTTTGTGTAAATGGGGAGTCTCACTCAGGCTAATATGGCGCTCCACAGGGCTCTGTGCTGGAGCCACTGCTCTTTACACAATGATAAATCCAGAATCCTTCTTTCCTGTAGTACCAACTCCCAGTTTGGATTTACTCTCTATGTTTATAACCAACACTGCGTTTAATTATTAGCTGTTTTTAAACTCTGGCTCTCTTCAGTACACCCAGCCAGTTTCTGGAGATGGCTGCCCCCCCCTGAGCCTGGTTGCTCCACAGAGGTTCATCCTCCCAGTGTCACCACGCGCTTGCTCATACGGGGTCATCTGATTGCTAGGCCTTAACCATACCACATGAAGTACCTCAATCCAACTGTTTTCAGGTCAGTGACGGCTAACTTTACTTTATAAACCTGTAAACACTTAGTTTCTGTGCTCTGTTTTTGTTCTTCCCCTGACTTATTATGAAATGGTTTCTTTAGAAAGAGTATTTGACACAAAACAGATGTTTTTGTGTGCAGTAAGTATGACTGTCAAAGGAAAGCAAGCAGCCAAATCTGTGTCTTTCTGATTCACGGTTATTCTCTGCACTTCTTTTGTGTTTGCGTTTAAATGTGTTGCTAACAACACGTAAGCCCAGGACCCAGCGTCACTCTCCATCTTGAAAAACCATCAGCCTTTCTGGCCTGAAACACAAACACTTCAGAAGCAGTCCATTAGTTCCCCTCTCTGAGCGTCTCCTCCTGAGGTGAACACGGTGACATTATCTCCGTTTGCCCTCTGGAGGCTTCTGCTCTCTGCTGCTGGTCTGTCTTACTGAGATCTCCCCCAGGAGACAAAGGCAGACCTTCAGGTGATGAAATGTGTCACCTGCCTCAACACAGCGCTGTTACAAACCGACTGTCAGCGTTCAGAGTATGCTAACATCACATAAAAACACATCAGGCTTTGATGGATGGTGGAAGGGTGGCATCTGCCGAAGACGGAGCTGACAGATAACAGGCGACGGCACATGTTGGAGTCCCAGATATCATCTCGACTCCTTTAGTTAAACTGCAGCTTGAGCACAGCTGTCGGTCACAGCGGCTGTTGAGCTCGACTCTCTCACACTGGGTAAGTTCCAGGTCCCGTGTGACATCTCCATCTTTATGAAGGATGTTCAGAAGCAACAGTCCAGACGCTGTGGTGCATAAACTACCTGTGACAGGATGAATATAAGCTTTCATGTTGACTACGTCACATTATGACCTTCCATCCAACATTGCAGCAGAAATCAAGGCTCATCAGAGCAGGCGATGTTTTTCAGTCTCCTGTTGTCTAAACTAGGTGAGCTGTAGCACCAGCTTCCTGTTTTTAGCTGACAGTAGCAGCTGTGGGCTCTTGCTGCTGTATTTTGTGCATTCAGAAACTCTCCTGCACACTGTCAGCTGCGGTCATTCTCATCAAACCTTTGTAGCATTTTGGCTCAAAAACTGGATAGTTTTTACTTTTCCAACCTTTCCATGTAAGAGAAGCAGTTTCTGGAATACTGCAGCCCGTCTGCCACCAACAACCATGATCATGACACTTCTGCAGGCTGTCTTCACTGTGTCTACAAACCTAAATGCTTTGTGTTGCTGCCGTGTGCTTTGCTGATGAGAAGCAGGTGAACCCAGCAAAGTGGTTGCATGTGTATTTCAGTATAGCTGACCTTCTAAAAATGACTCCAGCATCTGACATGTTGAGCGACTATAAACCAGTGTGGCTCAGAGGATGTACCTGGACTGAGGTGAGGTGGCAGTAGCCGTTGAGCGGGAAGCGGAGCAGGTGTGTGGCGTCCTGGTTCCAGCTGGCGTTCATAGAACTGTAGACGATATCGTTCACCTCGGGGAAAATCTCCTCCATCAGTGCCCGGGACGCACTCACACTGATCCTCTCGCCGAGCTCTGGCGTCACGTGGACCACGACACACTCACAGTCTCGGGAAACGTCCCGGCGCTCCTGCTCAGCCCTCCAGCGCTCCAGCTCGGTCTTTAGAGGCACCAGCTGGAAGAAAGTAGCCTCTTCGTAGAGCAGGGAGTACTCCTGCAAACACACAGCAGAAACAAGAAAACTCTCAGAAGCATAAGTGCAGACTTATACAGGCCAAAAGACGCACAATGCACACAAATATACACACATGCAGATGATGCACATGCAAAAAATGCAGAAAACTCCACGTTTTCTTGCAAAAAACAAAGTTTAAAAAAATGCATTAACACATATAAACGGCTCGTTCAGTAGTTTAGTACTAATGTTGTGCTAACGCCTTGGTAGCAGCTGCTCTGCTGCTAACACACTAGAGGAAGCAAGACTCTCATTTATTCTATAAACAAACCACAAACAAAACTTTCTGATTCATTTGCTGATACGAGCCAATGAAAAGTTTACACACGCTGGCTGCAGGCCGTTTCTGTTTGTCATGATTGTGATGAAGAATTAATGAAGAGAATGAATGTGTCTTTGGCACGGACTTGCTCTTTCTCGCCTGAAGTCACACAGTGTTGATATCAGGTAATTTCCCTGATGCAAACATTAAGCCACTGCTACTATAAATCCTTCCATGCATTCATCAGTTTTGAGATCTGTTTTGCTGCGTTAACATGTCGCCTTCCTAGAGTGATGGAACAAATACTCATTTATTTTACTGCAGTTTATCTATCGGTTATTTTATGACTCTATGCTCTGATGTTTGGGAGAATATGACAGAAAATACAGAAAAGGACAACAGAGTCACTCAAAGAAGTCTCAGGTCCTGTAGACGATAGGCTCGTGTGAGACTCTCACGTCTTTCTTTTGACATTCGTTTCCTGCTTTAGGTCACGCAGCAGCGGTGAACTGTGGAAGTACCTGATCAGGCACTCACTTTGAAGTCATCAGGCAGGAGGAGCTTGGAGGTTCGCAGGAAGTTGAGTATGTAGCGGAACATGTCCCCGTCCCGATCGATGAAGTAGTGCTGCTTTAGACTGTCCAACACGATGGGCTCTGTGCCGTCGAACAGACGCCCGATTCTGCCCAAAGAGAAGGAAACAGTTTCTGCACTCAGCTGTGGCTAAAGGAAAACGTACATGTTGCAGCTGAATCCTTTCCCAGCTCACTGGATGGTAAATGCTAAGTTAATTTAAAAAGTAGGTTCAAAGATGATCACGTTTATTGTAACAGTGTACAGTGATTGAGATTATGAGGCTTTTTAATCAAATCTTTGCTGTTTGATGAGCTGCATTTTCATTAATGTGTGGACAGCAGACCTCCTTTCCCCATGAAGCAGGAAGTATATCACCGCTGCCTCTTCAACTATTCACAGAGTTAAACTTTCTGAACAAATAACTGAAAAGCAAACTCTTTCAGCCATTAAAACCAACTCAATATACTAAAGTTCGGTTTCCTGAATCATAGGAAAAATAATCCATTTGCATTGAAATGTGATAATTAAGGAGGCAGATATTCAAAAATAATCAGTAATGTTGAGCTAGTTTGTTGATATTGAGGTGTTGAGGTGGAAACAGTGTTTACTCATACTTTAAGAGCTTGGATGTGTGCCTCACCTTGACTCGGGGTACCTGGTGAGTGTGGGCAGGCTGCTGGTGTACATGTGTCCTCCCACATCAATGTGGACTGGTGCGTTGGTTTTGGTGAGCTGAGCTGGTGCTGGGATTCCCGTGGTGCACAGGGGAGACATCGGCGACCAAGAAGCCAGCTTCTGACTCGACATGCTGCTGCAGCTGCCGCTGCTACGTCTGTCCTGGGACACAAATACACGCTGTAGTGACGGTGGTGCCAGTATATGAAAGAAAGATCAAGCCACGAATATCTCCACATCCACGGACACAGGTTATCTTTAAAGTTAACACATTGGAACAT